ATCTGTAGAGCGCATATTTCACATTTCCATCATTCTGAAACACCCCACGCACATTCTCAAAATGCGTGGAGACGGCTCTGCAGTCATTATACATGGCAGGAATGAGAAATCCTATATCTGGATGATCGGCTCTTATTAGCTCGGTCCAGTAAGAAAGCTGTCGCACAGACCAAAACACTAGTGTTACACCTGCTAACCTGGAGTTTCTATAAACTGGGGAAATCTTCTGTTTGTCTGTCCCAGATGATTGTTATCTGGAAGTAGAGCTAACTCAACTACAATGAGGGCCATTATCACAGCTGAGAGCCGAAGCTCTGTCAGCTTAGCTCTGCTGTGTCAAACCTGGCTCCGCCGTGTTAAACCCTGTAGCATAGTGACAGTTCTGCCTGTCATGCGACTCCTGGGACAATGTCAACGGCCCTCGTCGTGGTTCTGTTGGGCCTACTTCACAGTGGCTGGACCACATGTCGCTTCACATAAATGTGCTAGAATGTTTTTTTCACGGTCTAAAACGTGACTCAGCATTTTGCCCCTGCTGCGGGATCAGCATGTTCTGATCCACACAGACAACAAATGTCGGCAGCTTACATACACCGTCAGGGAAGTGTGCGATCAGCCCAACTGTTATGCATTGCGAAACAGCTGTTGTGTTGGCCACACAGGAACCTGCTCTCCATCAGAGCAGTGTACTTTCCCAGCGTTCCTGAACAGGCAAGCGGATATCATGTCAAGGGGCGGTCCCCGCCTCAGAGACTAGAGCCTCCATCCCGAACTGTTTTTTTCTCAGTTTTTTGGAGCAGTTTTTGGCTGAGCAGAAGTGGATCTGTCCGTCACACGGGAAAACGCTCAGTGCTAATTATGGTTCTCACTGAGCCCACGAGACGACCCACCGTTAGGAGTGGACGTCTTCGCTCACAGCCCGTGGCCAAAAAATGCTCTTTTATGTGTTCCCTCCAGTCCTGCTGATATCATGGATTCTGGACCGGGTCCGGGAGGAAGATCCGTCAGTCATCCTCGTAGCTCCTGAACGCATATGCGCTCCATGGTTCCCGAAACCGCAGCGACTGATATTGTGTCGACTGTGGAAACTGTTGTGGGGGGGCACTCTCCTCCAGGCAGGAAGAGCGATCAGGAGATACCCAGAAATAGGTCAGCATCTTTGGGTCTGTCCGCTGAACAAATCCATTTAGAAAAGATGGGCCTCCTACAGCATGTGGTGCGAACGTTCAGGGCGCACGAGCTGCTTCAACCACAACGTTGTACACATCAAGTGGACAACTTTTCTCAGCGTTGGTGCACGGAGAAAGGTGTAGAGGCCATCTCATGTCCACTAGGTGGCATGCTGTCCTTTCTGCAGCTGTGGATGGACAGGGATCTAGTGTTCAGCACAATTAAGACTTGTTGCAGCTATTTCTCCCTGTCATGAGGTTTCGGTGACAGAACAGTTTTTAATCACCCGTTGATGAAGCGCTTTCTGAAAGGTGTACAGAGACACAGACCGGTGTCACGTCCACTAGCTCCACAACGAGACCTAATGATGGTCCTGCACGCTCTGATCAAAGCTCCTTCTGAGCGTTTAGATCAGGTTTTACTTAAATTTCTGTCATTTAAAACAGCCCTGCTGTTAGCTCTGATTTCGGCAAAGAGAGCGAATGATTATCTGCTCTCTCTGTTGCTCCCTCATGTCTCAGAATTCAAGCTGACGGCAGTTCCGCTGTATTGTGTTTTAACCCTGCTCTAAAAAGCATCACAAGCTCACTCAGATCGAGAGTGATAACCTTGGATGGGTTTTTATTCTCTTCCTCATAATTCTAAGGAGGAAGCAACATCTCACCTCCTCCAGGGAATCTCGGCGCATTCCACCAGAGGGTTTTCATCCTCCATGGCTCTGCATGGAGGTCTACTTTCTCCATGACCCATTCTGTTCACAGTGTTCTGACAGAATGATTATTATTTGTTTCATGGAGCCTCACTTTGAGCTCACACTTGCCTGCATGAAGTCGCAGTGTGAGATATTTATTATCAGTCACAAGTTGATGGCTGCTGATTTTATCGTTATTAATCGGTTCATCCTGTGGAACTGTTGGTCTTCTCTGTCTGTTCATCATTACACTGTCACAGCAGCTGGTCTGCTATCTCAGCCTTTTTCCCTCACCAGAGATCTTCTCTGGTGTGCTCCTGTGCATGGGGCACGCAATTACGCAGCGCGTATTTACGCACACAGAAGGCTGAGTGATGGAATGTTTTTTGTGCAAGCAGGTGCTTCATGTTGTGTCTGAATGGACCCAGTGAGGCATAGACTACATCCTGCTTCGCCTTTAACCCACTAGCAACAGTCTTAAAGGGCGAAGCCTATACGAAATAGAACGTTGGTTACGTACTGTAACCCCAGATTCTATGAGTATAGGCATAGCCCTTTAAGCGCAGGGCCTCACTGGTTCCTAAATGGCTGAAGAAAAAAGCTATTTGGGAGCCGATTCCTAGTCTCACCGTAATTTACTGTATATGGACTGGGGGAGAGGCCCACACAGCAGGTGGGCTTGGACTAAAGTTTTCAGTGCAGCGCTGAGCGCCTTAGGGATAAAACCCACTAGCGACAGTCTTAAAGGGCTACACCTATACTCATAGAATCTGGGGTTACAGTACGTAACCAACGTTTTTCATGGCGAGATGTCAAACTTTGAGTTCTGGCCCCGCCCCTTTAACATGCTCTGAAACAAACCATTTAGAAAAATTTTCGTCCCCCATGTCTTTTGAACAAAATAGCCAAGTTTGAAACCGATTGAGCGAGATCCCTAGGACAATTTCTTTCAAATGCGGCAGCTGTAAACCTTCAAAAAGGTGTGAAATTTGGGACGGCATTCCAAAATGGCCGCCGTCCTGTTTATCGTACAACGTTGGTGCCAGAGGGTTTTCTGTGTATCTTGGGGAATTGGACAAGTGTACCAAATTTCATGCTTCTAAGACAAACTAAGGTTAATGCGGAGGGTATTTTGAAAATTTCCAGGTGGCGCTATTGAGCCGTTTCTGTTGGGATTTTTGCGACGCCCTTAAAAGACATAATTTTTCAGCAGTCCTAATGTTTTTGGGATATGTTAAGGCCCCTAAAAGGCCAATTAATTGCCCCAAAAAATTGCAGCTCGGGCCTGAACAGAGCGATTACAATAGGCCTTCGCAGCGCTTCACTGCTCATGCCTAAATAGTATGCCTGAATAAGTAAAAAATTGTTGCTTATCTGAATCTGACTCCTTGGTTGGCCTCAAAACAGGCTGACTTATCAATTCTTCCTGGGAAATGTGTAAACTAAGGAAAAGCTTTGTCTATCGCAATCCCCCCCTCCCCCCCCTCTGTGGAGGCTTATCAGAACTGTGCCACTGACCATCATCTTATTAGGACAATGAACTATCTGTTAGTGCTTCATGGACTGCCTCGTTGTCAAATGCATATGTAAGGTGTTCATAAATGTGCTTGCTGGCAGAGTTTTTTTGATGTCTTAAATTGTGTCCTGTTAGGACAAGGTGTGAAGAGATCTTTTTCCCCCTCCTCATCCCTTTGCCCATATTTCTATCTAAAAAATGTATTCCGTGAAGGATAAGAATGCTGCGCTTATAGCAGCAGCTACATGCACTCCGCCCATCTTTCGGACGACTGTATGGACATATTCTTGTTGTATCTTGGTGCAATGATAATAAAACTTATTCTGATTATGATTCTGATTATTCGGCGTCTTGTCCTCCCCTCAATGTCCGTGGATTGTCCTCCTTGGCGTCATGTCCTGTTCTCCCTCTGCGTCACCTCATCAGCGTAAGTTTTGCTGTTATTTTGTGTTGTTTAAATAAATACATTCACTTTATTCCTGAGTCCTCCGAGTCCTGCCTGCCTGTGCTTGGGTCCAAACACGCTCAGATCATGACAATTATTAATATAAATACAAAGTATTATGATTATGGTTCCTAGCTTTAATTTCACCACGGATGTTGCTTTCAATCACATTTGATTCAATATTTTTATGAAGCCATCTGCCACTTCATGTCGTAGATTGCTGTAACTGATAGATTAAATTAGAAAACAAATCAAAAAAAGAAAACCATCTGATATTCTTCAACAGAAAATATGTCAGTGATATTTGTTTCTCCTTTTTAAAACTTATAGGGGGTTCATATTTGTCAGGGTTTGGTGGACAGGAACGAACCCAGTAGTGCAGACAGGACTCAACTCGGCAGATTACAAAAATAAGTATTTTAATGATGACTAACAAAGTAACAAAATAATAAGCTGACGAGGCAGCAACACTTACAAAACTTAGAAGACTCAGGAGGGATACTCAAACGGGACTCAGGAAGCTCAGGAATACTCAGGAGACACAGGAGAACGCAGAGACCCAACGAATACGACGCGACGAAGAACAAGACAGAACAGACAGCTTTTATACAAGGACAAAACGAGACGTGATTACAAACAGCTGTGACGAGACAAGGGTGACACCAATTAAACTGAAGAGAACACACAAGGGAAACACAGACACAAACAGAGCCAGTAAATAGTACCATCCTTACAATATTCATATATATTTTTTCTTCAGTCTCTTTTTTTTTGTCTTTGTAGTTCACTGTAATCCTTATAACCTTTAGCAAAAAAAAAAAAAGACCATGACTGTAGTTTTGATGTTTACTGCAATGCACACCTGTCGTTTTAACGCTTTGTGTTTAAAGATTTATTTATTGGTAAATATCTTGAAACATTTCTAACACACTGTTGACCTGAGAGTGAATGGTTTATTCTGAGAGAACCTGTATCAAATGGCTGAATGTTTTTATGAAGTGCACCTCCCCCCTAAGGACTCGTCAGAACAACTTCCCACACCTACCATGACTTATTGTCCACACGCAGACTGACATTCATTCCTCCAAACAAATCTGCTGTCAGCTGACATTAGGCTCGCTCCAATAACTTGTATGATGAATGAATATTCACTTGAAAGTTATAGACCCGGCACTCACCAGAGGAATGTAGTCTTTGTTCTCGTTCTCACTCTCTCCAATAGAATCGCCGGACTTGCTGTGTGATCGACACATGAATCCTTTGGCAGCTCGAGTCAGGAGGCGAGTCCTGCTGAGGGCCAGCCTTGGAGAGAAGATGAAGACGTGAACGGCAGCACAAACTGATTGTGGGTTACTGCTCAGCTTTAAGAGAAGCTTGTTCTGATTCATGTTCAGCTACGTCTGAAGATTTACATATGATGCAAACACAGAAAGGACAGACTTTTAATCAAAAGGCACAGTCAGTTTTAGAAGAGAAAAAGTCACAGAACAAGAATTGTTTCTAAAAAACAAAACAGCTATGAGCCTTTTGGTGTTGGATTGTTCAGTACAGTTTCTCAACACATTTACCATACTGTGATTACCATATTTTTCAGACTATAAGGCACACTTAAAATCCTTTAATTTTCTCAAAAATCAACAGTGAGCCTAATAATCTGGTGTGCCTTATGTATTAATTCTGGTTGTGCTTACTGACCTCGAACAAATTTTATGTGGTACATGGCGCTCAAAATCTGTCAAAATAAACTTGTTTTGCTTAATGCGCCTTATAATCCGGTGCACCTTATAGTGCAAAAAATATGGTAAGTACATATGTACCTTTCAATTTTTTTAGATTTTGCTTCCAAAATGCCAAACATTCTCATATATATATAAATATTTAAACGCCCATAACATTTTAGTGCTCTTAAAATTTGCCTGCCTTTTTATTATTATTTTCAGTCCACACTTTGTTTTGACAAAAGGCAACTAAACCCAAAGATAACCCAAAACGTTGTTGCTCACTGGACTGAACCCATTTGAGGATAGTTGGGTCTCAAACTGGATTCAATTTTGCAAGAAAATATGCAGATGTCTGAGTATTCTCAGCCAAACTACTAGTTCTGTCAAAGCAGAACAAATTAGGAAACTAAAGCTGCAAGCAGCATGGGAGGCCCTCGCAGCAAAGAGCCACTTTGGCATTATGGCGACCGCGGGAGCTCCAGTTAGTCCACCCGGTCGCCATCTCCAATGCTCTCGTGCCAATCCCGCACGCGTTCACCATGTGGCGCATTTCCTGAATCTTCATCATCGTCTTCCGTCCATGTCAGTACTTGTCCAGCTTCAGGTATTACAAGTATAGGCGAAATACGACCTTCCAAACCAGAATTATTGTGACTTGCTGTTTTGTGGTGAATGTTTGACAAGCACTTCCTTTATGCTTTTCAACGTCATGTGTGGTAATCAACAGTTAGCTAACAAAGTTTCAGTCTAATATCTTACACAGGGCAAAGCTTTAAGAGTCATCCAATAATCAGCAGTTTTTTCTCTGAGTAGGTGGGGCTTTAGTGATGTCATGAATCATCAATATCAATGTGTCTACAAGTGCTCACTAATGAAGCACAAAAAAATCAGGTCCAGATCAGATGATGTATCACTAAGATATAACTGTTGGAATAATGTAGGGGGTGTGCTGGAGTGTAGTGTTAAACAACAATACCAATGTGTGTAAAGTGCTCACTGATTACGTACAATAAATCTGGTACAGATTGGATGATGTATCACTGAGATTTAACTGTTGGAACAATCTAGGGGGCGCACTTGAGTCATATGTTAAACCACAACATCAATGTGTCTAGACATGCTCACTGATGACGCACAATAAATCTGGTTCATATTGGATGATGTATCACAGAGATATAACTGTAAGAATAATATAGGTGGCGCTGTGGAGGCTATTGGCCACTTATCATGGATTCTTGTTCAAAGGGTGGATACTGATTTTGGTGCACCTCGGTTCAAATCTGTGCAATTTATAGCCAAAAGTATTGCAATGGCGTCACTTCTGAATTTGTCACGCTGCCCCACCCACATCCTCCTTGGAAAACTGTTTGTAATTTAAAGTAAGTCAGACCAACTTGTTATGTCTTCAAACACAGGACCATCCTGATTAGGTCACGGGTGTCAGAGAGGGAGCATTCCAAGTAAAAAAAGTGACTTCCTGTCCTGAGGGGGCGGGGCTTTGATGACATCAGAATATGACCACACAGGATCGTCGGGCATCCAACAGGGATGAGTCTTGCCAAGTTTGGTGCATTTTGGTCTTTCAATGTGAAAGTTATAGTGCTTGGAAATTTATGGTGTGAAGCATAATTTTGAGGCCTGGCCACGCCCCTTTAACATATACGAAAACACAAGCTTTTGATAACTTTTACTCCCCAATGTGTTAAGGGCATATTAACCAAGTTTGAAGGCAATCCTTTAAAATCCCTAGGAGGAGTTTGTTAAAATTCGCAATTAGAAACCCCCAAAAATGACCCTTTGACCAAAAATGGCTAACTTCCTGTTGGTTTTGGACCAGGGCTCCAAGAGACTTTTTCATAGGTCCTGAGAAGATACAGATGTTCACCAAGTTTCAGAATTATCGGTCAAAAAATGGCTTGGGGCTGAGATTTTAAAATATTCAAGGGGAGCTGTGGAGCCTATTGGCCAATTTTCGTGGATTCCTGTTCAAGGTGTGGATAAGGATCGATCATATCGATTTTGGTGTACCTCGGTTCAAATCTGTGGAATTTCGAGCCAAACGTATGGTGACGGCGTTATGTCTTACTTCGCCACGTCGTGACACCCACATGCTCCACCCACATGCTCCACCCACATGCTCCACCCACATGCTCCACCCAAAACTGTCAGTGTTGGAAAGCAAGTTACACCAACATGCCTTCGGTCACTGGACACACTATCATGCTGATTAGTTAACAGGGGTCAGATGGGACCGTTGAACATAAACTTTACACTTCCTGTTGTCAGGGTGCGTGGCTTAAGTGATGTCATGATTTGACCATTCAGTCTTACAGGGGACCGGATGTGGATCAATCACTGAAGGTTTGATGTCTCAGACAGTTTTCTTGTAGGAGCTATTAGCATTTCGTTTTTCATGGCGAGATGTCACATTTTGAGGTATGGCCCCGTCCCTTCAACATGCTCCAAAACGAACCGTTTAGATAAATTTTGTCCCCCATGCCTTTTGAACAAAATGGCCAAGTTTGAAACCAAATTAGCGAGATCCCTAGGACAAGTTCTTTCAAATGCGGAAGCTGTAAACCTTCAAAAAGGTGTGAAATTTGGGACGGCGTTCCAAAATGGCCACCGTCCTGTTTATCGTACAACATCGGTGCCAGAGGGTTTTCTGTGCATCTTGAGGAATTGGACAAGTGTACCAAATTTCATGCTTCTACGACAAACTAAGGTTAACGCGGAGGATATTTTGAAAATTTCCAGGTGGCGCTCTTTAGCCGTTTCTGTTGCGATTTTTGCGATGCCCTTAAAAGATGTAATTTTTCAGCAGTCCTGATGCATCCACCAAATTTGGTGAGTTTTGGGATATGTTAAGGCCCCCAAAAGGCCAATTCATTTGCCCCAAAAATTGTAGCATAGGCCTGAACAGAGCAATTACCATATGTCTTTGCAGCGCTTCGCTGCTCGGGCCTAATAACCATTTTTTGATTAAATATTTACTCATTGGTGTTAGGAGCCAGCTGTAAAGACACAAAAGACACAATTATCTCATTTATTTAGCTGACTTTATAAGTGTGACAGATAGAAATAATATAATAAACCAAAATAATTTAATAAACCTATTCCCAGAAAGCAATTAGTTAAAAACCAGACACCAACAGGCTGTAAACTGTATCTTTTAACCATCTGAAGGAACTGGAGAGCAGAGAACAAAAGAAGAAAGTTCAGGCCTTAAAGAATATTTACAACAGATAATATTTGTAAAGTAAATACAACCCACAGACAGAACAAGTTTTCACATGATCCCTTTTTTAAGGAATCATTTTGTTTGTTCTAAAATATTATTTTATATCTGAAAAGATTTGTTATTTTTGTACATTCAAAAAATGGCAACAAAAAATTCTTTATTTCAAGCTGTTGGTACCGAAGACCTAAAAGTTCAATTTGAAACTGGGTCCTTGAAATTTGAACAAATATGTAGACACAAGAATGAATCCTTCATTGAGTTTATATGGAGGTTTCTTTTTCACCCCCAATAAATGTTCATAGGTCAGTAACAAGTTACCAAAGTATTTTTTCTAGTAATGGTCAGCGGTATTATCTGGAGTATCATGTTATTAAAGTCAACAAAAATATTGTTTTTCAGATGATCACAAGATGATGGGTGGATGGATGATGGGTGGATGGATGATGGGTGGATGGATGATGGGTGGATGATGGATGATATGCTGTGGGGCGGATGTGGCTGAGTGGTTAGAGCAGTCATCCTCCAATACAAGAGTTGTGGGGTTCGATTCCACCAGCAGTCGCATGCCAAAGTGTCCCTGGACAAGACACTGAACCCCTCATTGCCTCTGATGTGTATCCCTTCGGTGTATGAATGTGATCTAAAGCTCTGATTATTCTTTGTATAGCTCTAGTGCTGTATGAATGGGTAAATGAGGACACAGATTGTGTTGTAAAGAGGTTTGAGTGTCTTGATCAGATAGAAAAGTGCTATATAAGTGCAGTCCATTTATCTCTTGTTTGAATTAAAAGACTACAGTTGGTATTTTCTGAAGTAATGTTGATAAAACTTCAACCCTCCTGCTGTCCTTGGATCAAACTGCCACAGTTTTAAAACTGACCCAAGGGCATCAGGAGGGTTAAATTCTGCCTTCATCAGGCTGTCCCTCACCCTCGGACAGTGTTTATGTAAAAGTGTTTTCTTCTTGCATGTTTGCTTCAGTCAGACTCATCCTACAGGCTGGACCGATGTTTCGAGACTGAACAGTCCGCACGTCATTCATGGAGCCAAAAAAAAATCACAGCGATCTGGACATTCTGCTAGAGGCTCAATGAAGACAAATTGTTAAGTCTGCCTGATTCAAATCTGAGAGCATCCCTGCTCTCTTTCACCCAATGAGACCACAGAGACATCGTGACTGGCCTGATATCAGCTCTGTTTTTTCTTTATTTTTGATCTGTGCATATTATAACTATAACAGACGTTTATTTTGGTAACATGTTAATCAAATCTGAGTGGAAAAAGCAGCCGGGGGGGGGGGGGGGGGACACACACACACCATAAACGATCTTGAGAATGTC